ATATAACAACATATAACAACATATAACGACATATAACAACATATGACAACATATAACAACATATAACAAAATATAACAATATATAACAATATATAACAATATATAACAACATATAACAACATATAACAACACATAACAACATATAACAATATATAACAACATATAAAAACATATAACAACATATAACAATATATAACAACATATAACAACATATGACAACATGTTGTAAAAAAATTTAAATGTTGATTTTTGTTCTTTAATACTTATATATTTTTATCAAATTAAAAAAAGAAATTTTAAAAAATTTATTGAAATGACTTGGATTCATAATTTTATTATAAAATAACATTAGAAAACAAGTTAACTAGGAAACTATATTATGGTATTGAATAATATTAAAAATTATGCAATACCATAAGTTTTTTATATTAAACTTATGGTATTGTATAATTTGTAATATTGTGATCTGTTGATTGGAATGTGTATTAGGGTAGATCATCATTGCATTTTTTTTTGTTCAAATTAGGTTGGATAGCAAAATAATGTTGCTCTAACATCTCAAGTATCATTTACAAAAAAAAATTTAAATTATTTTTTCCTTACTTTGCTGTCATCTAATTAAAAATAAGCTTTTTTTGATATTACAATATATAATATATAAAAATTTCTGCTCGTCAAAAAATGCAATGATTTTGTTGCTTTCTGGTCAAACCTTTAAGATTGCTTTAAAACTCAAAACTTTATAGAGTAGCAGGATAACGTTAGCACTAGAATAACATTTCTTATGACCAATACAAAGTTTTTTAAATGTTGTTACATATTTACTCTTGTTGAACTTATTTAAAGAAGTTCTATGAAAAAAAAGGTTTGTTGATCAATTATTCCTACATATTCTAATTATTTTTTGAAGCAAAGTGTGGAATATACTTTCTAGGTAGAAGTCTTGTAACATTTCTCCAGATACAGTTGTGGCTGCTTTTTAAACCAATTGTACATTTTGTACATTTTGAGAATAGCATTAAAAATCAATTTTTGCATATTTTGTATTGCATTTACAATAAAATCACTTAACTATTTTAAGGTAGGTGGTGAAGTCCTTGTAAGTTCCTCTGTCTTATATATATATATATATATATATATATATATATATATATATATATATATATATATATATATATATATATATATAAAGATTATATATATATATATATATATATATATATATATATATATATATATATATATATATATATATATATATATATATATATATATATATATATATATATATATATATATATATATATATATATATATATATATATATATATATATATATATATATATATATATATATATAAAGACACACACACAAAATTGTTTTGTTCTTTAGAACTTATCAGTAATAATCTGATTTTATTAAATCTAATCTTAGCAATAAAACAAGAAAATTGACTTGAAGCAATTTAAAAGATTTGTTGTGTATTATGATGTATTAGGCCAACAGTTTTGTCCTTTATAACTCATCAGTAATGTTCTGATTTTATGAAATCAAATCTTAATAAAACAAGAAAAGCTATTTATATTTTGTCTGAGTTTTGACATTGTAATTTTTTTGTCCAAAACCAAAGTTGAAAAATGTCTATTAAATTTTTACGTATCTTTTGGTTGAATAAATTTATCTGAAAAATGATTTTTTTTTATGTGATTAAATGGTTTCTTTTTTTATTTATAGCATTTAGCAAAGTTTTTATTTTAAAAATGTTTTTTTTTTTGTATGTTCATAGCTATGCATTTTTTTTTCTCTTTTTTTGCAAAAAAACATTTTTTTGTTTTGTTTTTTGTTGATAGCTTTGGTGGTAACATTTGATCATTTATATCCATTTTGCGCATTTAATGTTTTCGTAGAAAGTTTGGCTATAATTCCTGCAGATTGTGAAATTATGTGAAATTAAAATATCTAAAACAGCTACTTAGAGATCACATGTTGTTACTTTCACACCAGGTCAATAAAATAATAATGAACAGTATTCCCCCCCCCCCCCCCCCAAAAAAAAAAAAAAACTTGAAAATTGAGTTACTGTGTTCTTTCTTATAAGGGCAGTATAGATAATGATATTTTGTGAATTTTGCTTTTTTATATAATAATTTTAAAGTTTATTAGTTTTTAAGTTACAAAAATATTTTTGGAATTGTTAATAAAATTGTTATCATATTTATCTTAATTACACATTAGATTGATTCAACATATAAGCAAACCAATGCTTTAAAAGAAAACTATGATAACAGTTCGTATTCAAATGCTCTTAAAAAAAATGTTACTACACAACAAAACAACACTGGGAAACCACAGCATCAGAATAATAATACAAAAGCTCTGCATAAAAATGATAAGTTCATTTCTCAGGACCAGAATACTAACACAAATCTTGGATAGTAAGTAGATGTTAATGATTACTTATTTGTTATATTTTTTTACTTATTTGTTTTCTTAGCTTTACATTAAAATTTCTTATTTCAAAATTTTATTTGAAAACAATTACAAATCTCAATAGACTTCAATGTTATATATATTTTTTAACTTTTTTAGTAAAATTCGTTATTAATTATAAAAAAAGAAATTATTAATAATAGAAATACTTGTAATACCAAATGACAAAGTTACTTTTTTTTCTTTTTTAAAGTCAGCATCAATACCCTGAAGATAAAAACTCCCAAATAAATCAAGAGCAGGCCAATCAAAAAGCAGAACAACTGTATAAATTTTTAAATTTTTATTTTGTAATAATATTTTAAAATAATGATGAACAAAATGATGTTTGATTATTCAAAAAAATATTTAGTTTTAGTGGTCAGCTGTTCAACATTGAAGTGCCAGATCATAACAAGATTATTATACGTTTTTATATTTGGACACAAAAACAAATAGATAACCTTTACATAATGTTTGGTCATGAAGATCTTGGTAATTGGGAAAAACCTCTTGTTCGCATGGAATATTACAGGTGTTATATTTATGATAAAGTAATAGTTATTGTTATAATTTTGGGCATTCAGTTTCAAGCTTTTATAATTGACCTGTAAATTAGTTATATAAATATATAAAAATAAAATGTTTAATACATAGTTTTGTATTTTTTATTATCCATAACTTTTTATTCAAACAAAAACTTTTTTCAATTTTTTTTTTTTTGTAAAGCTGTTAAATGCTAGAAATTATAATTTTCATGGTTATACAAAATCATTTATTTAAACAAATTATTTATATTTTAATTATAAGTTAATTCAAAAATTGAGAACCAAAAATAATTCCTGATATTTGTAATATGCTTAACAATTTGTAAGTATTTCTTATGATAACTTATTATAATTTTCGCTTTAGTGATAACTCTTTTGGTTATCTTTACCAAGGTGATCTCATTTGTTCAAAGGAAGTATTTAGAAAAACAAAACCTGTAGAGTATAAATATTTTATAACTGCTAAAAAGAAAATTATTTGGGAAAATCTTGAATATGCTCCATATTCTAATCCATTAACAAATCGCTTACTGGTTATTAGTAAAGACTTCTTAGATGTTCTTGATAAAGGTTTGTTATCATTAAAAGTTTTTATTTATTGTTTAAATATTGTGAATTGTTATTGTTACTCTTGTTAACTGTGTTTAATTTTTTTAAGTTATAATTTTATTGTTTTAATTATTTTAATAGATTTTCAATTTATATTTTCTTTTGCAGTCAATTTTTACCAAAATTTCTTTATAAAACTTGATTCCAAAAATTTAGAAAACTTAATATTGGCTAAAAAGAGTTTTCAATAACTATTTACTAGAAATCTGAATATTCATTTTTCTAAACTTTATGTTTTTCATATGACCCATTAAACAGATCATGGTTGGTCTATGTATAATACGCTACCATATAATCTTAACATACTCTATTTCAATAGCTTTTTGATTAATACCAACTTTAACTAAAAAACAAACTATTAAACAGTCTTATTTTTGAACACATCAGAGCTGTTTATTTATTTTTTTCTAATTAAGCATTTTTATTGGCAATTCTTAAAAGTAATGTTTTTGTCTAGTTTTTCTTATTAGGGTTCATAAAGTGTCACGCTAAATTTTATCTTTTGAAGAGAAGCATGATCCTTTGCTCTTTCGCGGGGAGAATTTTATTCAATGTGAAGCACTTTTAAATTTAAATAACTTTAAATCTATGCATGGAAGTCAATAATATTTTAAAAGGTTATTAAAGCGAAAAGTTTAAAAGGGAAAAAACGTTAAAGCAAATTTTTTCTTTATTTTTTTTTTTTTAACACAACAGCCTGGTTTTTAAATTTGCACCAAATTAACTTATTAATAATAATTTAAATTATTGTTTTATCAACAATTTTATATTATCAATTTCATTACTTTAAGTATAATAAAATAAATATTAAATTCATTTTTATTAAAAATTTTTTTCTAATAGTTAATTAATGCTAATAGAAACTTTTTTGCTTTAACAACCCAGTTTAAAGTTTTTTGCTTTAACCACCATTGTTAAAAATTATTTAACAAGAAAATGTCTAATGGTATGAAAAAAAAAAACTATACCAAAATATTAAAATACACTATTTTTTTATATAAAAAATTTTTTTAAAGCAATATCAAAATTAAACATTTTCTTTAAATACATACGCAAGTTGTTTTTAGGAATTTAAAAAAAAAAAAATTTATTTGAACAAAAGAATTCTAAAATTTTCTCATTCAAATATTTTTGCAATTAAAAATTGAAATTAAAAAAAAAAAAAAAAAAGGAAAAATTAAAATTTTTTTAATGTTCAATAATTATAAATTTAATTGCAATGGCGTCCGTAATACCCAGTAAGGTACAGCAAAATTTTTTCTTTCTAAAAGCTTAGGAAAAGGTGTATCCTTATGTAAAATCAAATTTTAAAGAAAGTTTCTTAAAAAAAAAATTTGATTGGAAAAAGTTTTGATACCCAAACATGGACTTTTAGAAATTGCCAAAACTAGTAAAATCTAATTTGTCACATGTCCTTCATTGTTTTTTACATTTTCTTTTTCATTGCGATAAAATATTAAATGCAAATAATATTTTTAGATTGTTGATGTGCAGTGCAGATTCTGCATTTTTAGGTGGGAGGAGGAGGGGCTTTTCAATTTTTAATGAGGTTTTAATGATTCAAAAATTTGATCATAATTATTCATTATACTTTCACTAAAAAACAGGTGGTTTATCCCCTTTATGTTACCCCAACAATATTTTGATTAGGCCTAGTAAGTTAGGACAAGTAAGAAATTTTTAACTAATGAAACACTATTAAAAAACGTTTTTATAAAGTTGTTTGTCACGTTTTTATAAGTTATTCAAGTTTTAAATATTATTTAAACATTTATTAAATAATATTTAAAACTTGAATAACTTATAAAAAACACTTTATTCCTCTAGATAATTTTCTCTAGATAAGTGCATTATAAAGGTAATAATACTATTATAGTGTTATTACTTTTGTAATGCAGTTAGTGACAAGAGTGTTACTACTTTTGTAATCGTAAATTTATTGTTTTATTTTTTATTTTTTCACTTAAAAATTTAAGTTGATTCGCCCCTTAAAAACAAGGTACACGGTTTTGTATTAACTAAAATTTTGAATACTAGATGTTTTCCAGATTTTGCATTTCGCATTCGCTTAATTCAACCCTTGTTATTACATTATTATTGTTGTTACATTAAAATTATACAAATATATTTTACAAACACATTGCAATTTATATTTTTGCTATCCTCTTAAAAAAAAGTTAAGAATAGGAAAATCGTTCTTTTTATTTGTAGACTTCAAACTTTTTTTTTTTTTTGCTTCGCCTTATCTAATTTTGTTGCTGAATGTAACAACCACTCTAAAGAAACAAAAATAAAAACAGTACACAAATAATTTAAACTATTAATGTGTTTTTATTTTTTTCTATTTTAATCTCTTTTTATTTTGTTAGTTTTTTTTTGTTTTTGTTTTTGAAACTTTTTCAGCATTGATTATTATAAAAATTGCGAATGGCCGTGTTCAAGTTGTCTAAAATAAGATACCCTTGTGTGGTCATACGAGACAAAAAACCGCACGCAAAAAAAAAAAAAAAAACCCGCAAAAAAAACACCTTTCCTGGCTTGTGTCAGCTCAAAGTACTAAACATGATTCAATAAGATTATGTTGTTGCAGCAAAATATAAACACCTTCAGTAATCTTTTTAGCTGGCTTATCTAGATGATTAGGTACCTTTGGGGTAAAATGACCAAGGTATCAACCACCAGGTTCTTTAGTAATGTGCTGCTCTTTGATAATAATGTAGCTGTCTATTTGAGTCATTGCTTTTGTTGAACCTTTCCTTCCGTCAAAGACAATATTATCTGCTTTTGGAAGTTTTAGATTATCATTTTATTTTGCAACTACCATGACCTTTTTTCTCGCTATTGTCAACTTAGAAAGATCACAAGCAAGGTAAGAAGACTCAAGGGTGAGAAATCCTGCTTCAATTAAATCTTGAAGATAACTTGTAGCAATTGCTGCAGTTGTGGCAGGTGAAATCCCAAACCTATAAAAAAAGAATGGTTTGTATTTATTTCTATTAACTCATGTTACTGCTAAGGTAAGGTAATTATATTGGTAAGGTAATTATATTGAACAATAGTCAATATAATTACCTTATACTAGCCATAGCTGTGTTTTTTATTAACATTGTGTTATATCTTGACTTCTTTTCTAAAAGTCGTGTTACAAGGAAAACATAGGCGCCTAAATATTTTTCTTTAGCAGCTTTTCAACCAACACCTTAATTTAATTGTATTGTTTTAAAGTTAACATTATCTGGATTAAAGTTTTCATTGAGAAAAGCTGGAAAATTATTTTTTCCATATTTTTTATCTAATTCTATATTTTCTTCTGTGACCTAAAAGCAAATTATATATATATATATATATATATATATATATATATATATATATATATATATATATATATATATATATATATATATATATATATATATATATATATATATGTATGTATTATACATACATACATACATATATATATATATATATATATATATATATATATATATATATATATATATATATATATATATATATATATATATATATATATATATATATATATATATATATATATATATATATATATATATACTCTTGCATGTCTCTTGCATGGCATCAAAAAAAGTTTCCCATAAACTGTAGTTTTAAAGAGCGCGTTAATAAACCAGACTAGAAAAAGTTTTAAAAATTAAATTTTTTTTTTAATTGATAGACTGCCTGGCCAAACCAAACCCTCAGTCGATGTAGCAGCACTCTCTTAAGAGTCAGGCTATTTGTCAGTCGTTGTAGCAGCACTCCCTTGCGAGTCAGGCTATTTGTCAGTCGATGTAGCAGCACTCCGTTGCGAGTCAGGCTATTTGTCAGTCGATGTAGCAGCACTCCGTTGCGAGTCAGGCTATTTGTCAGTCGATGTAGCAGCACTCCGTTGCGAGTCAGGCTATAAGATAGTCGATGTAGCAACATTTACGCATGTTTTAAAAATGTTTTTTATTAAATCAATAACAAAAACACCACTAATTAAAAAAAACTTTCTAGTCGTTATAATTGCGGTTTTTTAAAAATTTTTTAAAAAACAATTAAATTTAATGTACTTCCGCATAAATTAATTGCTTTGACATTTCGATGACAATCAAAAACAGCTTAAGAGACGAGGTAATTAAAATTGTAGTCGTAAGAGACTTTTTTTACATTAAAACGCTCTTTCGACTACACTATATGGGTATATATATATATATATATATATATATATATATATATATATATATATATATATATATATATATATATATATATATATATATTATTGTTATTATTATTATATGAAAAAAGAAAATATTTATTATGAAAAGTTATATTTGCCTTGAAGAATGCTTGTTCCTCCTGTATTTTTTAAAATTCTTTTCTTCATCTCTGACTTTTCTCTGATTTTTTTTTTCATCGCTGACTTTTTTCTTAGTTTCATTGTCTTGATCTTATCTGCATGTCAGACTCTTCACCTGTCTTATTTCTTTGACTGTCTAAACACCTGAATTCTTTTAGAATAAATACAGGTGCACTTTATATGTGCTTTATTTTTACAATTTTTTGGGGATGAACACCCAGATTGATCATGCTTGCATAGAAGTATTGTGTGAGGACATGTTATGAGGTCCATTAGATTTCTGGATGTTATGAAAAATGTTTACAGACTCTTGTTATGATGTTTTTTACGGCGGAGAGCTAAGTCAAATTTTCTTTTAAAATTGATTTGGCACTGCGCTTATTATGAGAGACTAAACATAAAACCGGATTAAATTTACTTGATAATAATTTGAGATATTTCATTATAATAATGTCTAAATATGAAAATTCGGGTATCAAAACCTTTTCTAATCAAAAAGTTGTCCATAGTAAACCTACCTTAAAATTTAATTTTACATAAGAGCACACCTTTTCTTAAGTTTTAATTCTATTTTTTTAAAAAACATATGAAATTCACTGTACCCTAAACACCCAATGTCATAGCAAAGGTCATTTTTGAAAGTTAAGCGTATATCTAGCCACTTACCATCAAATCAAAACTTGTCTTTTACCATTTGTTAAAAGTTGTCTGTTAATGTAATTAATTTGTATAATTATATAGTATTAATTATATCATAATTTGGAAATAATGCTATAGAATTTATTAGCAAATATGGCTTTATGATTTCTAAGTAACAAGACAATTTTAAAACAGTGTATTAGGTTCCAAACATTGGATCTGAAAAGTCTGAATTGAAAAATTATTAAAGGAAAAATAACTGTTTGATTGTTATACATTCATTTTGTTATTCACTCATATATTTCATTGTTATACATTCATTTTTGTTGTGATTTTTTATATAACAAATTTCTTGTGAAAAATTGAATAAGCATATTCATGCTGTTGCCTAATAAACAATTAAATGCTTTTGTTTAATATTTGCTTCCATTTTTTGTTTGTTTGTTTGTTTTTAGTTTTATATTTGTTGTTTATTAAATATACTTTGTACAGCCATTCATTACACAGCAGTTCAAAAAATGTAAAAAGAAGGTTGAAAGTGCACATATTTTTTAATTGTTTTTTTCTTGATTTATAATAATGAAGTTATTATACAAATATTATATATTTTGAGATATATATTGTAAAAAACAATTTTTACTACGTAATGTGAAAACTATCTGTGTTTTTCAAACTATATATTTAAGTTTTAAATTTAATTTATGTTATTTATATTTAGATTTAAAGTTCTTTCAAGTTGATGACATTTTTTTGCCACCAAAAATATCAGAGAAAGAAAATCAATCATTATTTAATACTTTTAAAGGTTTGTTTTCTAAAGATAGCTATCCATCTAAAGAAATTTATGGTACTGTTTTTAGCCAGTATGTTTCTCTTTTGGAGAAACAAAATTATAGTAACATTGAAAGTTCAATCTTTATAAGAAGTTTGGAAACGGGTTTTTATGGTGCATACTCTATGACTAGAAAAGTTCAAATTGGATGGAAAAAGATTAATGAAAAGCATATCCTAGTGAGATTCTATATTTTAATTTTTAAGATTTTATTTTAATTTTAGAGTTAATATAAATGCAAATTACATTAATAAGAAAATATTAGGCCTCAATACAGTTTTATTTGGTTAAATCTACTGTTTTTAGTGTTATATGCTGCAAAATTCAGTTCATATATAAACTGAATTTTGTAGAGATGTTCTAACAAAATGTTTTATTTTAGAACAGCCATTTGTAAAAGCTGTTCTAACAAAATGTTTTGGTTAGAGCAGCCATTTTTGTTTTGTCAGTTTTGCCAGTATACAAATTATATGCAAAAAGTGTAAAAGTTATGGAATAAATGGCTATAAAGATAGTAGTTTTTTAATTTTTTTCTAAATGAAAATTTTTTTTCTTTTAAATATTAAATTCTTAATCAAAATCACGTAATGCTGAAGTTACCAATTTATACTGTTTAAAATTATTATATAAAAACACTAACAAATTATCAATTTATACTGTTTAAAATTAATAAATAAAAACACTACATTATATATTGTAGATGTTAATTTATAAAATGCTGACTTAAATCCAGATTGACACTACACTGGAAGGAAAATTCAATTTTTAAATGATTAAAATAATTTAAATATAGATCAGGGTTGCTACTCAACCTGGATAAAGCAACCAAATTTTCCTAAGGCAAAATTTAATTTTTTAATTTTGTACCAAAAAAGTTTTTTAATATTAAAAACAATTTTTTTTAAATGAATGGCTTTCTCACATGAATCACATGAATAAAAAATGGATTGTCAAAATTCATAACAATAAATTTGCTAATATGTATGAATTGTCAAATAATTCTAGTAATATTAGCTAAATATTCTAGGAATAGCAGTTGAGTTTAGTTTTAGTCTAACTAAAATTAGCTGACTAACTTTTTAGTGTAACTTAAATTAATTAACTAATTTTTTAACCTAACGTAAAATAGTTGACTAAATATTTAGCATGACTTCAACTAGTCATCTAAATTTTTAGTAAATAAAAATTCTTTTAAACTTTTTTTGATCATTATTATTATTATTGTTAACTTAACAAAAATAAACAAACAATAGTCAATCTTTGCTTTAGCTTATTTAATCTAATTTAATCCACAAAATTTAAGCTTATTAATAATCTTTATTTATCTAGAACTCAGTGTAATTATAATATATGTATATATATATATTAAGTAAAACTAAAGATCTAAATTTTAACATATAGAATTTTAAAAAACCTGAAAATTTAATTCTACTTCATAAAAAGAACAACAGATAATTTTGTAAAGAATTTCGTTTTTTTTATGAAAAATAATTTTTTTTTTAACTTGCTTCTTTATTACTATTATCAGAAGAAAAGCAAACAAGCAATAAATAGTCAATTTTTACTTTAATCTACATTAAATATTTACTTTAATTACTTCAATAGTAAAAATTTCTTTAAAAATAAATTAATCAACTAAACTGGACTAATGATTTAAAAAAATGAAACTCTTATAACATCATAACATAATATAGATGATAAATATTCTCATCATCAATAACTTAGCTCATTCTTTAAAATCAATGTAAAAAATAAGTAATGAAAACAAAACTGCCTAAAAAAATTAAAGAATGTTAATAAAAAAAAGCATAAAACAGAAAATGTAAACAATTTAAATTATTAAACTTTAAAGATGTGCTAAGATGTAATAGAATGTTTTTATAAGTAATGCACTTTTTGAAATAAGTCTAGAATTTCTAATTTCAAAATTCCAGAGCAAACAAAAACTAACAATAGTAACCTAGTGCACTAACAATAGTCACTAAGTGCACTAAAAATAGTAACTATGCATCACTAAGCACAGTAACAATAGTAATAGCTAATAATTATAACTTAGTGATAATAATATAATTTAACTTTAGCTATACAAATTACATTATCATTATAATTAGCTAATTATAATTATCATTATAATTAGCATGTATAATCATTTATATTATGATTAGCAATTTTTATTAATGCTTAAAGTTAAAGATTCTGACTTATCCAAACAGACTTAACAAGACCCATAAAACAGGTCTTGTTAAGTCTTCTTCACACTAACCATTTATATATTTTTTAAATATTTTTTTTTATTTCAATAATTTTTAGTAAATAGTTGAAAATAATTTGCTTCTGTTTGCTAAAAGTTTCTTGAAATTTTAAATTCTTTAATATTTCCACCTTTCCATTAGTTAACACCTCCCTTACCCCCTTTTCATGTTTGTTGGAAGTGTTGCAAATGCAGATAAACTAATTAAACATTTAAATAAAATATAAGTAACTTAATATTTGACAATTGCATACAATGCAAACTGCAATATTTTCCTTGTACTTTAGAAAATTTTAGGTTTTTTCTAATTATTTATAATTTAAAAAAATCTAAAAATTTTAAAACTTAATTTTAAATGATCCTCTAAGTATTTTTTATGCTTAATAATTTGTATAACAAATTATTGTGCATAAAATAAGGAAAATATCTACAAAAAATTGAACAAGTTATATATCTTAACAATTAGTAATCTTTTAAACCAGTTAACAAAAATTTACATATTAGAGAAAACATTGTAAAGTTTATTTTTCTATAAACAGAGATTATATTTTTCGGATCCAGTTTTTCCCAATATCCAAAAACTTTTTCAATACATACAAGTTAATGTGTATATTTTTGTAATATATTTGTTTTTTAAGCTTTTTCACTTATCGCTCATACAAAAATTAAAAAAAAATGTGGAAAAAAATTTGAAACAACTCCTTTAAAAGCAAAATTAAGAGTAAAATTAAGAAAATATATTCCAGATTTTTTCCAGATATTTTACCCAAACAATTTTCTGGATATTTTACCCGAACAGTTTTCCGAATTTTTAAAATATGACCTGGATTATCTATGTATAAAGCATAAATATGCCATATTATGAATCTTAAAAATTTTTCTAAAAAATTTATTGAATTAAAAAATGATAATATAAATAAAAAGAAATACATTGCATATAATAACTGGAAATCGAATTTAAAAAATACATCACATATAAAAACTGAAAACCTGATTATGGTAACCTGATTGTGATATTGCAGTTGTTATAAATATTTATTGAAAAACTAGTTATAAAATTCAAGAAAATTTATATTTGAGTATAATAAATGCAAACAGCAACACAAAGTGAACACAAAATCACCATTCTTGCAAATTCTCATTGCGTCTTGTCTAATAAGGAAGCAATGTATTCTTGATTTATCATTCTCAAACCTTGCTAACTACTTTCAAGTTTGCAGAATATATTTTTGTTGCAGAGCAACAAAAAATAGCAAACTAATTAAAATTTACTAAAATTACTAATTTAAAACTTATAAAAAATGGAGCCTACTTATTTATGGTTATAACCCTCTCTCAACTCTATAATTCCAAAACATGAACCTTGATGAACAAGGCCGCTGCGCGGAGAAACAAGTTGAGCACGGTACAATCAGAGATGTGGTGGGTTTCGAACTCAGAACCTCTCGCTCATGGAGTGAGACCTCTACCACTACACCACTGTCACATGATATCAGCTGTTTGGTATCATGTGGCAGCATAAAAAATAACCTCTCAAAATTTTTGCTGGCCATGGTTGATTAATTTAAAAAAATCAGAGTTTTAAAAAGCAAGGTTTGATAAATAATCAGGATGTTATTTAGAAAAAGCATTTACTAAATTTCATAAAATCATTTGAATTTAAAAAAATACTTTAAAATAGTTTTATTGTTTACAATACGTTACTTTAATTGTTAGCAGGTTGTTGAATCAATAAATGTTGAATCAATATTTTTTATATAATCCTTTTTTTAATAATGCTGCCTGGTTTTTATGTTAGTTTTTAAAACATTGCACTATATTAACTTTTTATTAATAATTATTTCATTAAAAAATAATAATCAAAAATTATTAATTTGTTAATAATTTTATATTTTTAATTTTACTACTTAAAATATATTCAAATATATATAAAATTTATCATTGTTAGATTTAAAATCTAATAAAAATTGAATTTTAATAGAAACCAGTAATTTTTTTGATTTGATAACTCTCAACCCATTAATTTATTTTGCTGACAAATATTATATAATATACAAATATAGATGGCATAACTATGCATAAGATTTTTGCTTCACTTAATTATATTACTTTCATTTTACTGGTGGTGAAAATTCATTTTTCATAAATGATTAAAGTTTATTATTTTAATAAAAATTTTCAATATATCATTTTAATATTATTATTATAATATATAATAATTTCCCTATTTAACAAATAACATTTTTTTCAATTGCACATAGGGATTGTCCATGATACATGCAATGCATAATTAACTAACATAATTTAACTAATAAACAAGACAAATAAGGTCAAATGTTTTCCCTCGCAAATCTTTAATGAAACCAAGACTCAAATTAGTTCTATAAGTGCAATAAAAATCGCTGCGCAAATGAAAATAACAAATGATCTCCTACTACTTTTTAAATAAGTTTTGTGTTGCATAATTTATAGATGATCCCTTAGTAAGTTTGTTTTATTTTCTTCAAGTCTTTTTATTTTATCTTTTTATTTTCTTGTAAGTTTTACCCCAAATTGCAAATAAATGAATAAATGATTTATAGATGAATTTAAAATTACTAATTGCGCGTTTGCACTTTTTGTGCATTATAGGATTATTTAAAAAGTATTAATTTAGTAAAAATCTTGTAATTTTTATAAAAGTGTTTCATAAAATAGTTGTCTTCTTATATCAAATACTGAGTACTTAGTACTCAGTACTCAGTATTCAGTTTAAATTGTATCTGCGAACAAGAGTTAATAAAATTGCTAACTAATTAACATTAATGGTTTTTAAAATGATCTATAAAAAAGATATAAAAGGTTTCAATTGTACTGTTTTCTTTTTCATTCAATCTTTTAAATTATATTTTCTTATTAACATTGATTGCGAAGTCATTGCAACGAAATAAATCAATTTTAAATAAATTAAAAATTATCGAATACCCATTTACAGTTTTAAGATAGCTTAAAATAAAAAAAATTTGTTTTTTGTCAAATGTATTTTGAATATTGTTTTTTTTTAAGTTAAATAAAAAATTAATAAAACTTAAAATTATTATTATTAAAGTAATACGAATTTTCAAGTATAAACTGTTTATTAAATTAATTAAATAAAATTAACTAAATTAAGTTTACCACCGTTAAATTAAATTACTTTTACCACCATTTGCGTTGACATTGCAATGAAATGAATCAATTTTAAATAAATTAAAATTATCGATTGCCCATTTGATGAACCAGAAGATGAGTCTAGTAATGAAACATTTAACAAAAAACCTCAGAAAAAGCTACTAGAGGAAATGGTTGTTTAATATCAGAGTTGGTTGTTTGAAAATACAAAAAAAAGGAAATATCGAAAGTTTGCAATAGTTTATCATTAAAGAAACAGAGTTCCAAATTGAAACAATTTATTGATTACATAGTATCAGCCATTGTAAAAAAAAAAAAACTAATCAGTCTTATTTTAAAGAAGCTGGAAATACGAAAAAGAAAAGTAAGTAGTTGAAGTTTTCGGTTTGTAAATCAATTCAAACAACTTGTTATTAGAAATAGATAGAATGTCACAAAAGCTAATCAGCTATGTTATGGATGTCTATGAATAAACCATACTAAAAGTTTGTGTACCCGAACAAAATCATGTGGCATAAGCAGATGCAAAGAAACATATAACAAGTTGTTACACAAGTCAGATCCAGTCAATAAAGATAAATCAGTGAGAAGAATAAAAAGACTCATTGGATGAAGACTAGCACAGAGGAGGAGCGAGTTTAAGAGAAAGCAAACATAACAATTTCTAGTATATGTAACAATATATACCAAGATGTACTTAACCTGACCCTGTGTATATATATATATATAATAATATATATATATATATAATATATATATATATATATATATATATTATATATATATATATATTATATATATATATATATATATATATATATATATATATATATATATATATATATATATATTTATAACAATTTCTAGTACATACTAACCCAAATAATGATTATAGTATTTGCATGTTGTTTTGAACTATTCCAGTCATCCTAAATGCTGGAATTTAGGCACACACTAATCAAATAACAAGAGGAATCACAGTACCAAAACTAAAACAGTGCCGGTTTAACCTACGAGTGCACTGGAAATGGGCCAGGAGGTCACAGAGTTCAATGGGCCAGAGTATCTAAGTGAGTTTTTGAAAGATATATAATTTGAAATAAAAAATATTATCTGCCTCTATCCTTGACTTCCTCTCATGTCCCAGAGATTTTTAATCTTTGCAATAACATATAAAAAAAATTAAAAAAGGCAATGAAATAAAAATTAAAAATAATTTAAATAAAAGATGAAAAAGAATTACAACAACCTTAATTAGAAATATAATTAAAAAAGAGAAAATACATTATAAGCCATAGTGCAACAATTACAAAAATTTTTTTATTTTAAGCCTCTGTTTAATTTGAATATACGGTGGCCAACAGAGGCCAAATTATCTAGAGTTCCAGGAGGCCAAGATGTACTTAACCTGACCCTGTATATATATATATATATATATATATATTATATATATAAGATGTACTTAACCTGACCCTGTATATATATAATTATATATATATATATATATATATAATATATATATATATATATATATATATTATATATATATATATATATATATATATATATATATATATACACACATATATATAAACAGTATCAGACAAAACAAGTGCAACCAAATAATGCTAATTTAGTTTCTTTATATAAAAGTGCTGCATTTTTTCAATTTAGAGAAATAACTATGTAACTGTTTAGAGACAAGGTTCTTCAAGTTTTATTCATCACAAAGATCATTTTTTGTACACGAAAATTAATAGATTAATTAATAGTATTAAAAAAAGTTGATTTCCTTTTGGACAAAACAAGTGCAACTCCACAAAATGTTGACCAAGCTGTATTTCGCTATCAATATTTCGTGGCAAATCTTTTGTTGTCGATCACAGCCTTGCATCTTCAAGGCATAGATTTGATCAGGTGATCAATGAAACTTTGTGGAATCGCTGCCCAGGCCTTTTGGATTTGTTCACAAAGTTGATCCTTATTACGAGCACCTTCACGATGAATTCTGCGGTTGACGATCTCCCACAGGTTCTCGATAGGGTTGAGATCCAGAGGTTGAGGCGGCCAATCCATCACTGATAGGTAGTTGTCTTGAAACCACTGTTTGACAATTTTTGCAGTGTGTTTCAGATTGTTGTCTTGCTGAAAAACCCATTTTATTGGCGTATTTCATTCAGCATGAGGTAACATAACATCTTTCAGGATATTTTTAACATGAAACAGTCCATTATTCCATCGATGCGATGTATTGGACCTAGACCGTTAGCAGAAAAATATCCCCAGACCATTACATTTCCTTCACCATGCTTCACGGTCTTATTGCAGTAACGTAAATTGAGGAGTTTTCCAGCCGGTCGACATACACTTCAAATGCCATCGCTCCCAATGATGTTTAATTTCGATTCATCACTGAACAGGACAGTTCCTCATTTCTGTGCATTTCAGTCAATATGAGATGTAGCAAACAGGGTTCTTTTCTTCTGATTCTTTAGTGAAATCAGCGGTTTCTTTGCAGGGCATTGAGAAAACAATCCGGCTTCAACAGCACGTCGTCTGATTGCTTGGTCCGATACAGGCAGCTCATAATTGCTTTTGTATCTCGACTGATGATATCCAGGGATCCTTTTTGATG